CAGCGCATGAACCGAACGAAACACACGCGAACCGAACCGAGACAGTCGAACCGAACGGTTCTGACGGTTTTCATAAACCCTTCCATCCCTACTGGATACAGACTGTAGACAGAGCTGGTTTCTAATGGAGTTTCTGTTGTTTTCAACATGAACTCATCTTTTGTTCTGATTAAACATAATTCAGTTTTTTAGCTATTAATATCTAAAGCTTGTTATTGTAATTTCCTCTGTAAATGTGCAGAGATGCTAGACGGTATCAGAACATCATTATTGGATGAGGGGAAAGTAATCAGTCTTATTTCATGCAGGTGTTTGTTGAAGTGTCTGTAAGATGCAGCTAATGTCAGAGCTGACATCTCACTTCTTAGAAGGAAGAAGATTAGGCAGAAAGAGAGGAAGCAGAGGCGAGGAGGCCTGACCTGGAGCGCTGGTAGAGGTCCGCTCACTAATGAGAATCTTTATTCATTAACATCTGCAGCAAGAACAACATTATTATGACCACATGGGTCATAAACATCGCTGCTCCTGAGGCCAGCAGCTTTAACTCGTTTCTCATTACGCTGCCGTCTGTTATGCATCAGTTAGGCTGTCGTTCAACATAAGTTTTGGACTTGTTATGAATGCTCTATGTATACGCCCAGAATAGAAAAAATACATAGAAAGTTCTGCGTTTGCCAGAGTTTTAGGAGACTCTGGGATGTCTGGCAGACGCTGGATAAATCGGCAACAGGGCCCTAAACTCTGCAAGATGGATGTCTTTCCAAAAAGAAACGTTTTTCTATTTTTTAAGTAGGATTTATAATTATTTTGATCGTTTAAAAACCTTTAAAAGTCAAATAACTCAGAAGATGTGGTTCTGCAGCCCAGAACAGTTCCAAGGTTTTTCAGTCAGTTTCTGTGGCGCTTCTAGAAAGTCTAGCTCTGTCCCGCTTTCAGTCACTCAGCTGAAACTCTCCTGGTTCGTCTTTCAGGTTTACAGGAAGGAGAGAGAAGAAGAGATGAAGGCAAAACTGGCGACCGACCCGAAGATGAAGAGGTACCGCCGCTGGATGAGGAACGAGGGACCGGGCCGCCTGACGTTCATCGACGACTGATGTTCTGCAACCCGTCCAGAACCAACACATCTGCCTCAGCGCCGCTCAGACGGGCCGCGCTTGCTGTGCTGGGGGGACCGACCCAGCCGCTCGTTTTCAGTAATTAGAGATATTTTCATAAAGACGGGGACTCGGATGGACTGACTGCTCAAAGAAACTGCAAACAGTTTCTGTAAAACCACCAACAACAAAAACAGGAAGATCAGAATCCAGTCTGTGTCTCAGATTCAGATCGTTCTATTTCTAAGTTTCAGGTTTTATACCTGAAATAAAAGTGTCCTTTAAAAAAAGGCAGCAACCAAACCTGCGCTGCTCAGAAATATGTTGAATTGATGGTAATTGTTTCAATTTTACCTCAAATTTTTTGAATAAAAGATTGTTTTTGAAGACGTACCTGCAGCGTCTAAAGAAACAATACAAACAAGATGAGCGTGTCGTTTCCTGCAGCACCACGGCGTGACCTCCAGTGACGACGACATGTCACTGTGGTTTGATTTGATGTTGATTAAACTCAGAGTTCAGATCTGCCCAGATGGATACAAAGCTATGCAACAGGTGAATTATTGCAGAAAGACGGAAGCAGAACCTTTTCTATGCAGAAACAGATGTCAGACAGAAAGATAAACGACTCAAGTTAGCAAACCCAGTTGGTCTACTGCNTCTACACAGAGATGACATGGAAATGAGTCGATTCAGTTGGATGGGAACGCTCCTTTACTGTCAGGCTGCTGGGAGGAGCTTTTGATCCACATGGATGAACAAGATTAGTCTGGTTCTGAACTAAAAGGGGAAAAAAAACCTCCAGGGAATCGGTCCAGCCTGGAGAACTGCGGGTCAGAACCACTAACAGTTTACCGCAGGATCTTCTAAGGTAGAACCAGCAGCAATTCAGAAAACTGAACCGATACGTTCTGTTTGTTCTCTAGTACGTCAGCTGGTGCAGCAGCTACAACAAGGCCATCAACTACCTGGTAACCGTCCCCAAGTACCGCATCCAGGCTACAGAGATCGCCAAACAGCAGGGCCTCCTCAGCCGCACCAAGGAGAAGGGCAAAAACCGGCGCTCCAAGGAGGAGATCCGGGAGCAGGAGGAGGAGGTGATCCGCGACATCATCAAGAACAAAATCGACATCAAGGGCGGCTACCAGAAGCCGAGGCTGACGGACATCCTGCTGTGCCAGATGGTGCTGTTTCCGTACTACCTGAGCCGCTACGTGGCGTGGTACGTCAGCTGGGTGTACCGCTTCACCGTCTGCAGGGAGGAGTACGGAGAGGAGGAGAAGCTCTACCTCATCAGGTCAGTGGGGGCCGGGGCCGGCGGGGGCCGCTTGCTGCTGTCCGCCTCTGACTCTGTGCTGTGAATTAATCAGGAAGAACATGAAGATGTCGGAGGCTCAGTTTGACGGACTGGAGGAAAACGCCAAACAGACGTTCCTGGAGAAACAGCTCTGGATCAAAGAGAACTTTGAGGTGAAGACGCTCCTTCTGGTTCTGACTCCTTACTGACCTTATTGCTTAAAATGTTCTAAGCAGAAAATGTTCTTTTAAAAATAATTACTGACAGAGAGTCCATTAGACTCTAGAACTGTTTTAATTCTATTCAGTTTATTTCTA